GAATGGCATGGACACAGGGAAGAGTGAAGAATTGGGATCATTATTGGAAATATATCAGAAAAAAAGTATGGTGGTAGTAATGAGGGAAGATAAAGCAGAAAACTGTTTTTCAGAGACTCTCATGACTGGGAATTCCCTACCCCAATTACCCTTGTGGTCTCCCTGCCATGTCCAGACCAGCTTCCACTTCTGCATCTCCAGTGCTGAGGATTGCTTCATTTCCTGGGACAGATTATTCAGACTGGAAGATTGGAAAAAATTCTTTCTGGTACTTGATGCCTTTTTGCTTCCTCTCTTTGATCCTGGTTCTGACACGTAGGTTTTCGGTCCAGCAGCCATTCACATAATTGAGGAGAGTGCACTGGTCCAGTGGTTCTGGTTTCTCAGTCCCTGAGTAAGCCATCAGTGGGCGAATAAATCCAAAGTGGAGCAGGACCATCACCCCTGCAACAGGCTGCTAGGTTCCCCTAACTGGAGAGACATATTTTGACACCTTCCCTCCCTTACCCTCCATATATAGTTCCAGGTTAAGTTCAATGGGTTTAGTCCCATCACCATTCCTATACTCTACTCCACCATCATTTCTCCCTCTCCACTGCCCTCTCCCTTGTCTGAGCTGCCATCATGTCTTGCCTAAACCACTGAGTAGCCTCTCCACTCCCCCCACCCTGCCCCATAATCTATCTTTCACACTGTGACCACAGGAGTATCTTAATGCAAACATGCTCCTGTCATCCATGTTTCCCCTTTAGGCATATCTTGTTCTACACTCTGCACCCAGCCTCCACCTCTGTGGCCATATTTCAGGACCCCCAATACCCTCTACCATCTAGTTAATTGCGCCTGTCCCTTCGGGCTTCTGTTCATCTGTCCTTGCTCAGGGAACCCTCCCTGTCTCCTTGAGAAGATCAGATCTCTCAGTAACAAGCTTTCTTAGCACTACAGACCCCTTCTTTGCAGCATGTATCAGAATCTCCAACCTTCCATTCATTTCTGTGATTACTTGCAGCATCTGCCTCTCCACTCTTCTGTAATGGTGGGCAGTACACTGGCTGGATATGGGTGCAGGAGTGATTTATAGCTCTGCCAGACTCCAGTGGTGTAAATTCAAACAGCAGATTTCAAGGTACCAACAATTGTGGCTCACAAAATCCCTGAAAACTTAATAATTGGCTCTCATGAGCTAGCTTTAGAATACCGGTGGGACAGGCCTTGTATTCTATTATCAATAAGCTAATTGAAGGGAAATAAATATTTGGTGAAGGAAGGAATGAGCAATGCTAAAATTTAAATGAACCTCTGGATGACAATTGCTTTTTCTAGAAGATAAAAGACTTTCACTACTTCGAATGCCCAAGAACAGAATAAGGGAGTCATGTCATTTCTGTTCTCAGAGGACTATTTAGATTTTTACTTAACAAACATGTCTATATTGGGCACAAATCCAAGTGCTCTACAAATACTAACTCATTTAATCTTCCTAATAACTAAAAGGTAGGTTCTATTAGTATCTTCATTTTACAAATAAGGAAACTGAGTGTCAGAGTAATTTGCCATTGCGGTGTAGCTGGGCTTTGAACTGAGGAAGTATGATTGCAGAGTCCTCATCCCTAAACGCTATGCTGTGTTACATCAGGACTAGCTCTGGAGTGAGATATGGCCCATATTCCCCTTCCTCTACCCTGAGGAAACGAGTATGTGATTTTTCAGGTCATTGCACCTCAACAAAGAAAGAATAGAATGGGAAGGGTCCAGAAATGTGCCAACATGATGGTAAATGTGGGCTCTTCTGGATGAGGACAGAGTAAACAGATTAAGGTTTTTCAAGAAGTGGGCTTTATATACTTACTAAATTCTAATAGGAGGAACTTGACCTGGTCAACTTTCATAAAGAGAAATATTAAAACTTGAGAGGTGAGTTTGGGACATTAGTAAATGCACTATGTCCTCTAAATGTAGTCTCACTTCACCTCTAAGACTATCCTAAAAGATGAAGATAGTCAGGACCATTTTTAATGAACCAAGGGCACAAAAGCTTAGAAGTTAAGAGATATATCTAGGCCACAGAACTACCCATTGGCATAATGAGCCCAGATCCCCACCAGAGTATGGTCAGCCTCCACTTTCTCATGCTGGTTCAATGTTACCTCATAAGCAGGTCTCACAGAATCACAACTGTTAAGAGGAAGTCAATTCCTGGAGCTAATTGTGCTGAGCAGCAGTACAAGGTGAAATGTAATTAGATTCAAAGGAGGTTTGCATATCCGTGGTGATAGCCTAATATTGCAATAATAAGAGTTGGGAATGTGTTTCTAACTTTTGATGTGGCTGTTCATTTTAACAAAGGATCTCCTAGGTGCTAAATACCTACAGTGTGCAGGGACTGTCAAGGTCAAAGATGAATTCCTTCCTTTATTGCCCATTCTGTATGCAGCATTGAGAATCACCCCAAAGGAAATAAAAACACTGGTGTGGAATTTTGCATGGGAGAAAAATGGCACTAATATACAAGGAAAGGCAAGGACAGTCAGGCTGTGAGGTAATTCTGAAAGTTAGGGTTGTCAACTTGATTTTACCCTATAGGAGAAGAATGGCTAATGAAGACTTTTTAGTAAAGGATCGACATCATCATCATCCTCATCACAATAAAAATAATAGCTACAGAACACCTACTGCTGCTTTTAGCCCTCATACCCACCCCTGAGGTAAGAACTAATATTAACCCTACTTAGCAAAGAAGGGGCCTAAGACACGAGATAACACATAAGGGGCAGAGCCTGAATCTGAACCCACATCCACCTAAATTCTGTTTACTCTCACCCTAACACTCTGCAGCAGCTTTGCTTTTGAACACATCCAGGACAACACATGGGGATATAGGTTAGGGAGCCACAGCATTTAGCTGGGTGGTTAAAGGTGTGAGGAAGACCAAATTTAAAAGGAGAGATAGGAAGACCAGAGAAGCAGGGAAAGAAACTGCAGCTGAAGCAGGCAGTGTTAAGGAAATCATGCAAGTGTGAATTTTAAGAAGGAAAGAAGGGAATAACAGTGCAGAACGCTACCTAGAGGTCAGGCAAGATGGGGATGGACAAGGAACTATAGGCTTTGCCAAACTAAAAGGGCTTCCGGGATTCACAGACAGCATTTTCAGAGGAGTGGTGGGGGTGGGTGCCAGATTGCCGTGGGCTGAGAAACGAGTGGGAAGTGAAGACAGGGCTGGCAGCGTGTAAACTTACTCTTTCAAGAAACATGATAGTGAGGGGCAGGGGAGGGAGCAGACCTGAAAGGGGAAGATGATGGCAGGAAGGGTTCTCTAGGGGATAGAGATGGGAAGAGACTTGAGCAGTTGTAAGCCAGAAGGATAGGAAAGGCTCTCTCTGACACAGCCCCAGACGAATGGAGAGCACAGTGGGTGGCCTAGTGAGAGCTCACTTGGCTGGACTTCTCCAGGGCTGGGAAATGACGGAGGTGGATCTGATTATCTTTGTAGCCCCTTGGAGATCTGACATTCTTTCCTCTTTCTTCTTTCTTTCTTCCTCCCCTCCTTCCTCTTTTGCTATTCCACAAATATTTACTGAACACCTACTCAGTAAATATGCTAGATCTTGTACTAGGCTCTGTGGCTATTATGATAAACAAAACAATGTACAGGGTGAGGCAAAAGTAGGTTTACAGTTGTTTGTGTGGAAAACAATACAATTCTATATAATAAAAGTCTAATATGCAAACAGACCAAATGGCAGAACAACCAGTCAGCTCCTCAATGCAGGAGCTGATCCCTGGTGGTCAGTGCACTCCCATAGGGAGTGCCGCTCAGCTAGAAGCCAGGGTCAGGGCTGGCGAGTGCCATGGTGGTGGGAGCCTCTTCCACCTCCGTGGCAGTGCTAAGGATTTCAGGGTGCAGGCTGGGCTGAGTGACCCTCCTCCTCCACCTCCACCCCCCAGTGCACAATAAATAAGAATACAAGAATAAACTCTGTGTTTCGTGTACTAGTACTCACAACTGGAAAACCTACTTTTGTCCCACCCTGTATAGCATCCTCACAATTGAGTGGGGAGACCAGCATTAAACAAGAATGTGCACAAACAGTGTATGTGTTTGACCACATTGTATGATAGTCGCTGAGCACTTCCAGAGTAATAAGTTCTTATAAGCATTTCTCACCCCATAAGAAAGGCAGATGAGAAAACAGAGGCACAGAGTGGTCAGATGACTTCACACAACCAAGGTAAGTGGAGCATGAGATCAACTTAGATTTGCCTGCCTTCTGGCAGGAGCACTTAACTGCCCTGACTCGCTCGCTGTGTTTAGAGCAGTGGGCACCAGGATGAACAAGATCTGTTGGTGTCCCCCACCCTCGGAGAGCTCACAGTCCCTGAACATGAGGAAGAAACCAAGCGTTCGTTACTCCCCTTTCCCCCCAAGTGTGGACCCTGGACTGACAGCATCAGCAGCGCCTGAGCGCTTGTCAGCAAAGTGGAAGCTCCAGCTCGGCCCAAACCCTCTGGACCAGGGGACTGACTGCAGTGGAACAAGACCCGCAGGTGCTTGGTGCGCACTTCCAAGGTGGAGAAGCGTGGTCTAGAGTCCACCGCTCTGATTAGAGATGAGACACCACCGTGGCTCAAGCCTTTGGAGGTCAGAGATGGTGGAACCTCAAGGCTTGGTTTAGGAACCCAACCTAGGCCTGAATGGTTCCACTCTTGTCCTAGGCAGCCAGCGGGTGGGACAAAAACGGGAAGGAACGCGAGGTGCTCAGAGCGTGCACGGTGCTCCGAGCATGCACGGTGCTCCATGGCGCTGGGCTCCCGGAGCGCTGTCCGTGCGCCTGAGGTGCTTGCAGGCTCCCGGGGGGGGGCCGAGCCCAGCGGAGGCGGCGTGGGCGCCCTGAGGGCCCGGCCGCCGCGCCGCGCCCCCTTCCCCGCGCCGGGCCGGGTCAGCCCGGCCCCTCAGCTCCACCCCCTGCCTCCCCCTCCCGCCCGCTCGCGCCTCCTGAAAAGCCTACCAGCCCCGGGCGGCGGCGCAGAGCCGGCCCGGCGCACCAGGCAGCCAGCGCGGCCATGACGGCGGAGAAGGCGCTGCCTCTGGGGAACGGGAAGGCTGCAGAGGAGTCGCGGGAGCCTGAGGCGCCGGGGGGCGGCGGCGGGGGCGCCGCGGCGGCCGTGCGGGTCCCGCGCGACAAGGCGGTCCACGAGCGCGGCCACTGGAACAACAAGGTGGAGTTCGTGCTGAGCGTGGCCGGGGAGATCATCGGGCTCGGCAACGTGTGGCGCTTCCCTTACCTGTGCTACAAGAACGGAGGAGGTGAGGCGGCTGGCGCGCGCGGCCCTGGACAGGGTGCAGGGAGGAGGCACGAGCCCGGTGGGTGCGGGCGGGGGGAGCGAGGAGGGAGCGCGAGACCCCCCCCCCCCCGCGCCTGCGTGCAGCGGGACCCTGAGGGGAGTGCCCGCTCTCGGCCACCTGGCGCGGGAGGGAGCGCACCCCCCAGCCAGGCGCCCCTGCCCAGCGCGCATGCGCGCGTGCTCTTCGCACCTCAGCGAGCCGCCTGCCGGCCTGGCACGTGACGGCTCGTCTGCCGCCCAGACCCAGGGGCCTTTGCGCCTTTGCATTTGCGACCTGTTTCTGCCTTTGGGGGCAGGAGACGACCCCTCTGAGCCTCGGCTTTCCTCACTGGGAAGCTCCCTGAGGAAAAGGAGCTCGCTTCTGAGCGCTTAGTGAAATGCCAGGCTCCATGCCGAGCATCCCGTTTAGTCTTTAGACTCGGCGCACCCATTTTGCAGGTGAGGAAAAGGAAGCGTAGTCTGAGAAGTCACTCACTCCGTAAGTGATAAAAATGGCGTTCTGATACCAAAGGCTTTGTTTTTAAAGTGGGACGAGACGGATAACAGGGAGTACTTTTTGGTGAGGCACTGCCGTTTGACTTCCTGCCCAGTCTTTCATTTGCTCTTAAGGCCCTTTCTGTGGCCTCCTTTTGGGCCTCTCTGGTGGAAGAGTTGGCACCAAGCAGTCTCTTGTACTGGCCTCACAATCACCCACGACAAATAGCTGCAACATTGATTTATTGTTTAGGAGATGCTTAGAGATTGGGGGGTTGGGGCCCGGGAAAGGACGGCGATGAGATAATCCTTTGTAGTAACATTTCCAAATAAGTTTGGTGGAGATGCAGCGGTGAATCCTGACATCTCTCCGTTTAAGAAATGGGCTCCAGACTTCAGGAACCTCCACCTGTCATTATTACCAGAACAGCCAGCAGGTCTGAGGCAAAGGACCTTGTAAAACTTCATTGGGTGGCATAGTTTCTCCAAGACAAAGGCCTGTTTCTGTGTATTCCTCTGCCTTTGCTGTTTCCCTGCCTCTCCCGCAGATCCCTCGACCTCAATGAAAGTAGCTTAGAGTTGGCTGGCAGGGACCATACTGTTAGGCTGTGTGGAGCAGGATTTGATGTGTGAGCAGCTGTAGGGAAAGCAGGAAAGGTACTGCTCAGCCTGAACCCTTTCTTTGGAGACATTCATCCTGAAGGCCCACGCCTGCTCCAAACTGGTAATGACGTGGCTGCTGGTATAGTGGCTTGGCAAGGGGGCGGAGAAGCAGTGGACTCCAGGACCCTGAATGTGCCCTGCACCCTTACCGAGGATCCCACCTCTCTTTGCAGATTCAGCCATCATAAGCTACATGTCTGCTTAGAAACATGTGGAAACCCTTCAGAATAGCCCCAGACAAAAATTGTTTAAGCATAATAGTTTCATGCCAGAAATTTTTATGCCAAAACTAAAAGCAGAAAACAGGATAAGTTGGATTAATTAACAAATTCTGCCACAGATTTAAAAGGTTGTGGTGAGTAAAGTTTAAAAATTAGTCTTTAAGAAAAAAAAAAAAAAAAAAAAAAACAACCAAAAATCCTCTAACTTTCCAAGATTTTCCATTGGGTACACAGATATCCTTATTTAATTAAGACAGTCACCTTAAGGATTACTAGCTTTGTGGATATATGGGCCAAAAGGCTTTTAAAATAGTGTCATTTGTTAGGTTCTAGAGGATTCACAGGTAAATTATAGCATATTAGGAAAGCTGCTATATTTTTAATATTTAATATTTTTAATCACAAGTTTAAATGCAGCAAACACCCTCTCATCCCCTTTCAAATGTGTGTGGCCTTCTAATATTGTTGGGGTACCTGCTTATCAACAGTTTACCTTTTTAAAAAATATCCACTCATAGATTTTAATGGTAGTTTGAAATATTTCTTTTCTAATGTGGAACTTTAAAAATAATGTCTTGCACAGAAAAGCTAAGAACCTTTCAAAACCTGGTGGATATGGTTCTATTATCAGGATTAATCAAAATTGTTGCTATTGATCCTGCAGTTAGAGAGACTTCATTTAGCAAAAAGCAATTTCAGTTAAAGCCTTCATTTGTGAGATCAGATGGTGGGGAATGGCATGTGTTTTTCATGCTTTGTTATTAGAGAAAGAGAGAGAATGAGGGATTTGGAAAAATCCCTTTCTGGTTATAACAGCTCATGTTCACCTCAGTTATTTAATTTGTTTTACAGAAAGGCAGAGGCAATGGGTATTGTGTTTCAAAATTGGAGCTCTAAGGCTTATGGTGGTCTTTTCTCAGACTGATCCAAAGCCAGCCTTTCTGGACAGATTCTTGCTGCAAACTCTTTATAACTCAACTTCATACCTGGGCCTCAGCTATAGGCACCTGATATTGCATATCTGCTTAAGATTACTTTTCTTTATGAAGAAGCTATTTTTCAGGTCATTTCCAAAGTAAATAGAAGAAGAGGGTCCCCTTCACCTAGCCTTTGGAAGTTACTTTAGAATAAAAAGGAAGGTATGCAACATTCAGAGAGAATGAATTTTACCTATGCTGGAGGGTGAAACATAAAAACAAAAGAATCAAGCAATGAAACACTTTCCTTTACATTATCATCTTATCAACACAATAATTCTGTGAGATAAGTGATGCAAATATTAGGTATTAAAGCCCCATATTACAGAGGAAGAAGTTGAGGCGGGGAGGTGTGAGATAGATCACTCAGGGTAACAGGTAGCAGAGGGCACAAGCTTAGGCCCGCATTTTCTGACGCTGGTCCTCATTCAAGCTCAGAGAATATTTTGTCTTGCCTGTAGTAGGTGCTTATTAAAGATTTCTTGTGCTGAACATAAAAATGGTGCGAGCAATTTTAACATCATTCCCATATTTTGCATTCTTGCAGGAGCATTCCTGATTCCCTATGTGGTGTTTTTTATTTGTTGTGGAATTCCCGTGTTTTTTCTGGAAACGGCTCTGGGACAGTTCACGAGTGAAGGTGGCATTACATGTTGGAGAAAAATTTGCCCTTTATTTGAAGGTAAAGATTGAGTTAATCAGAAAATAAAATTATGACTGAGTGATGACAGGTTATCAAGAGTAGCTTAAGTACATATGTGAGGTTAAAATCATTCCCTTTCCTTGTTCTTTCAGGCATTGGTTATGCAACACAGGTGATTGAGGCCCATCTAAATGTATATTACATTATCATCTTGGCATGGGCCATTTTCTACCTGTGCAACTGCTTCACCACCGAGCTCCCCTGGGCCACCTGTGGGCATGAATGGAACACAGGTATGCCCTCAGGGAGGGTCTCTCTTCTGGTCCTGGTGGGGGACCTGCTGTTGGGTGTGTGTCTTTGTCCTGGAGATCAATCCTGACCTCTGGCCTCTCTGTGTGAGTCCAGATTCCACTGAAACTGAAGGTCATTGTGCAATGGGTCTGGGTCCGTTCTGTGGGTTGCAGTGCTGAAACCTAAGCTGAGCCCTGGTCCAGGAATTGGCATGGGTAGAAGATGATGATGCTTTTTCTTCGCTTTGCCAAATATAGAGACTGAGCCCTTTGGGGGCAGAGTCGGGAAATAAGGGATTCAGTCTCCAATTTCAGCCCTGCTTCTCTAGGCATTGGATTTTCCTTTATAAAATGAAGGGGTTAGTTTAGGGGTTGCAAACAGGACCAGTAAGCCAATTAAGCTTTAGGCCAGTGACCAGCAAAAATAAAAAATTTATTTGACAGCTCAACTTGAAATATCGGAAGACTTCACATGAAAATCCAGATTTCCATTTTCTCTGGAAAAATTTGAAAAGATCTGGCAACACCAGACCCACATTCCCACATTCTTGCTTTGCAGCAATGGTTGCAGCAGAGGGGCAGCTGTTACCTTTGGATGAGACCACAATCCTCACCCAGTCCCCTTTGCTCATTTACTTTACCTGTCCAACACAGGTAGATATTTGAACTCAGAATCCCACCCTACCGTTTGAGTAAATAACTTTTGAGATTACTTTAGATTCTAATTTGCTATTTGTTTTTCAAATTGTCATCCTTTCAGGAGCGAGTCATAACCCAGAGAAGGCAAATTCATACAAACTCATACCTGTGGTACCTGTGCTTAGAGCAGACATCATTAATCAATTGTAGAACTATTTCCTTTTGAGTTGAGTGTTGACCTCAGAACCCTTCTCAGCAGTATTCTAGACAGCTACTGCCTTTTGAGTGAAACTGTCATACATGCTTTAAGCTATTCACCATTCCTGTAGTTAGGTTGACCCGGAAGTGGCCTGTATCCTAATGGCTGAGCTATGGTGAGATTGGGTAGAATGTTGGTCACCAGCAGAAGGAACAATAGGTATTAGGCCTAGAAAGTGCTATTGACTAGCTTCTAACACTACACAGCTTTGCCCTGCTCCCTCTCCTGTTACATTTTGTGGACTTTTCACAGTTTCTTTAGGGCCCTAAACCTTTCTTTGGCCAGGGATCTTTTAGAGATGTTTGTCAGGTTGAAATTCAAGGACATATTCTTAGAAGCCTGTGAGCCTTCCATGATAATTTAATTGTGTGTATTTATTTTGAGGCTACTCTAAAAATATGCAAAGGTTCTGGATCATCTGCGCAACACCTTATAACAGGACAGTCAGGATATTTCAGTTCCTGACTTGGTTCATGTTTACAATTAAAGATGTATTCTTGGTAAATAGGATGATGGCAGTCCAGGGGAAAAGAGCAGAGAGATTTAATTCATAAATGGTGCATTAGTACTAAATAAAGTTCCAGTTGAGAATAAAGGTTATAGGAATTCAAGTTATAGGAATAAAGGTTTTTCAAAAGCACGAACAGAGAAAGATGGTGATAGAGTTGAGTCTCAAATAGGGCATGGAAAAATAGGCAAGCCAAGCTCAATATAGACCCTGACTCCGGCCTGTCAGTTTATTTCTGTTGAAATCCATTTAATATTACAAAATGGCATTATTTTACACACCTGCTTTATGCTATCAATTTGAATTGTATTGGGTCTGTAGTTTAGTTAGTATTTATGGGTAAATTGAATTCTAGTTTTATAGTTGTATAAATACTATAATTACAAAACTTTATAACTCATTATTTATTTGTGCATGAAACACAACTTTAGAGAATAGGACAAGCCTTTGACAGGGAAGTGGAAAAAGGGAAAGAAGATTTAGGAACAAGGCAGGAAGCAAGTTTGATAGGGCACATTGAGTGAAAATAAGACAGAAAAGGCTCCCTGCCCCATCCCCCAACTTTTCCTCCTGTTTGAATCAATCAGACCACGCCTCTCAAACTGTTTGTAAGTTATTGATTTTACCCCCACTGTTCTTTGAGGCATGTTTACTTGGAACAGTTGCTCCATCGGCTCTGAATGTTTTCCAAGATCCAGCCCTTGTGGAGGTTAATCTTGTATTTCTTGTCTTGTTTCCACTGTAGAGAAATGTGTGGAGTTCCAGAAACTGAACATGACCAACCACAGCCATGTGTCCCTGCAGAATGCCACCTCTCCCGTCATGGAGTTTTGGGAGTAAGTGGAATCTGACCCATCTCCCTTGTTCTGTGGGGGCACCATCCTTGTTCTGCTCAGTTATTATTGACCTCACCCGTGGAAAAAGCCTGACCCTTCCTCCAGTCTTGCCCTTTCTGGCTTCTGTGGGCATTTAATGGCGCTGGGAGCCAGAGTGGAGCTCTCTAGAGGTTCCCCAAAGGGACAGCTGAGAGAAATGCTTTCTTGTTCTTTGATGACATGTCAGCATGCCTAGTTGGCTATTAGGGCAAGAAGTGATTGGTAAAATGATACCCAGTTTAAAATTTTATTTTTAATAAAAGAGAAGGTGTTTGCAAAAATCTTCAGTTGAGAGTTTATTTAGCCTGGAAAGCAGACATCTCCAGGGGGAACAGGTGAGCTTTCTTTCAATAGCTGAAGTAGATGAACTTTAATGGATAGAGGTTATCGAAAGGCAGGTTTCAAAAGTGCTTAAGGAAGAGCTTAGTCTCGCAGTATTGTCTGTAAGTACTTCTGAAAGTTGTGAGCACTCATCCCCGGAAGTGTTTGACCAGTGTAAGGCTGCTGCCGAGTGTTGCTGGGGAGGTGTCTGAGTCCACAGACGTTAACTGCAGTAATTGTGTGGGTGGGTGGACATTTCCCAGGAGATGGGAATTTTTCATCCGTGTTCCAAAGGGGTTATGACCTGGGAGTTACAGGGCTGCCACATGGGGTTGTATTAGTTGTTTGCTGCAGAACCCTAGCAGAGCATTAACATTGTGGATGTGTGCTCCAGAATTGTGCAGTGTCCACCTGCGTAACTGCACACGGTGACCCTGATGTAGGAGCATCTGCAGTAAAAGATCCCTTTCCCACGGTATTCAAGAGGTTTCCTTTATGAGTCAAAGGCTGTCTGAATGCTTTCTTTTTCATCTGAAAAAAAATCTGTTTCATTGAAGAACCTCCCCTATCTTAATGCTCATTACTACCGTGTTTCCCCGAAAATAAGACATCCTCCGAAAATAAGACCTAGCGCATGGAAAGATAAGACATCCCCTGAAAATAAGACCTAGTGCAACTTTGGGAGAAAAAATTAATATAAGACACTGTCTTATTTTCGGGGAAACAGGGTAGTAGCATAGAGGAGCAGTGATTATTGAGTGATTTTTATTTCTTTCCCAGGTACAATTCCTCTCCTTCTCTCTTTAGAAGTCATAATGCTATATGTATATATGAGTCCCAAATAGTACCCAGATCTGTCTTGTATGTTTTAAAATTTTACATTAACGGTACCCCTTACTTACATTTTTACAATGTTGTTTCTTTGCTCAATATTGATTTAGAGATGTGTCTCTGTGATACTTGTAGTTTTGGTTCATTCTGTTTTTCCTGTTACATAGTATTTCAATGTATGAATAGACTACATTGTATTTAGCCAGCTCCTTTGGAGGCAATTAGACTATCTCCACTTTCCCACTATTATTAAGCACACTGAGTGCTTCTTTGCTGTGCTTCTGTGTATGCATAAGTGTAGGTCTTTAGGCCATATAACTAAGAGTGGAATTGCTGGGCAGGAGGGTGCATACATTCTCAGTTTTATCAGGTAATGTCAAATTGCTTTCCAAAAGGACTATTCTAATTTTTTTCCAAGTAAAAGTGTGTGAGAATTTCTATTGCTCTGCATACTAGACAGTACTTGAAATGGTCAGAGTTTTTAAGTTTTGCCAGTGTAATGGGTATGAAATGGTATCTCTCTATTTTATATATGCATTCTCTATTTACTTTTGAGGTCAAACATCTATTCATGTTTTTTATTCTCTATTTGGGTTTCCTTGTCTGTGAACTGCCTGCTCGTAACCTTTTCTCTGTGGATAGTTTGTCTTTTCTCATAGGTAGAAAATCTTGATATATTCTAAATATTAATAGAATATATTAATAAAAGCTATCTGCAAATAGCTTTTCATAGTGTCTGGCTTTTCTTTTTTATTTATTTATGGCATATAGGAGTTTCAATTTTATTGAAGTAAAAGTTGTCAATCTTTTTCATTTGCATAGTTGGTGTCTTACTTAAGATATATTTCCTTAACCCAGAGTTGTAAAATATTTTCTTCTAAGAGTTTTAAAGTTTTCTTTTTTCTACATTTATGAATATATTCTACCTTGAATTTTGCTTTTGCATATGATGAGGTAGGAATCCAGTGTTTTAAAAATAAATAACTAATTTCTCCAGCAATATTTACTGAACTGTTCATCTTTCCATACTGATCTGTAGGACTATCTTCCATATATTGTGTTCTTCAAAGCACAGATCTCTTTTGGGTTATGCTGTTCTGTTTCATTCATCTCTTTTGCTAATTGTGTGATACTGCAGCTGTAGTTTTATTGTAAGTCTTGAACTGGTAAGGCAAGTTCCTCACTTTGTTCTTTTCCAAAATTGTTTTAGTCTTCCAGAAGAATTTTAGAGTCAGAACAAACAACTCTGTGGGAATTTTGGTTGGGAGTATATTGAACTTACAGATTAATCTAAGGAAAACTGACATTTAATATATATATATATATATATATATATATATATATATATATATATACACACACACACACACACACAATATATATATATATATATATATATATATATATATATATATATATATATTTCAGAGAGGGAGAGAGAGACAGAAACATCAATGATAAGAGAGAATCATTGATTGGCTGCCTTCTGCACACTCCCTACTGGGGATGGAGCACACAACACGGGCATGTGCCCTTGACTGGAATCAAATCCAGGACCCATCAGTCCACAGGCCAATGAGCCAAAACAGCTAGGGCAAAATTGACATCTTTATGCTTGAGCCTCTCTCTCCATGAACATGGGATGGCCCTGCCTTTATTTAAGTCTTTTAAAATGCCCCCTGGAGCAGTGCTATTTAAATGTGGTCTGCAGAGGAGCAACATTAGAATCACTTGGTTAGAAATGCAAATTCTCCAGCTCTTCCCAGACCAAATAAGTCATAGTCTCAAGTAGAGGATCTATATAATATAGCACTAGAGAGGTGGTTGCTGTGGTGGATCTCTTTGGCCTTTTCCAACCCCATCAGGTGATGTCTTCTTAGAGGACTGTCACAGAAACTTCTTTTGGACCTGCACATTTGAGGATCTGTAAAACATGGTCTCTGTACCCCCTTAGAGAACCCATCCTAAAATCCCACCCATGGCAAGGTGTCTATGTAATTACTGTTGTTTGCACCATTCATTTCCTTTGTAACATATATAGAAAACCTCAATTGAATAATTATTTATGCAACATGCTTGTTTATTGTCTGAATTTTCCAAAGGCAGTCATGAAGCAGCACCTTTTCTGGTTTTACTCACTACTGCTGGTCTGTGGAAGGCCCCCAGTGAGGGATTACAGGATAGATGCATGAGACACAGGCAGGGAGACAGTATTTTCTAGAAAATACTACAAAAGAAGTGTCCAAGTAGGCTCTGGCAAGAATTCATCTTATCACTCAACTCCCCAGCAACAGCCCTGATTACTTCCAGGGTCCCTTTAAAATCTATATAACCTACCCGTTTGGACACGGAAATTCAGAAGGGGACAGTTAATCTGTGTCTTCAGGTGTCCCTGGACCTTTTTGCCTGTGACTGGGTAATTCAAGGTGAAAGTCCATGGGGGAATGAACCCAAGGTTCTAGTTTTGTATTCATATTCCCTCTGTTTCATCTATATAGTGCTGAATTCTGCATCCTAAAAGTCCTCAAATGCTGGTGTGACATTCACCCCTTCAGAATGTGCTTTTATAATACAGCTCTAATTCATTTTTTTTCTAGAGTAGAGCTTGGAGTGTAGACACTCTGGGAGATGTGCGTAGCATCCTATGAAAAATTATTTTGGGCCACATAAATTTGAGAAGGGCTGAAAGCTACCTAACAGATAAAGAATATCTGTTATCTTTGATTAGCCCAAATTTCCAAATGTGTTTTCCAATGACATCATTGAAAATCTTTTTCCTCCCTCCACCCCCACCCTCACCCCTGAATGCTGGCATTACACTAAACATCTGACAAATACTTTTCTAGGAGGAAGTTCTTCCTTAAGTTGAGCCAACAGTTGACTTATGAAGCTTTGGAAACAACAGGCCTTATTCCTTTTCTGTATGGCAGCCCTTCAGGTATTGGATCAGGTTTCCTCAAAAACATTTCTTCTCTACTTCTTTTGCAGTGGCTCATGGGTACCTCACCTTTGTTCATATCTTCAGTGGGCCCCTTTTGTCCTTTTTCAATGCCTCTAACTCTGGAACCTCACTCAGGGCCACATTATTAGTCAGAGTAGCCTGCATTGGCATATTCATTCATTTGGCAAGTGTCTTAGGTCCTGGGGCACCTAAGAAGAACACTGCATTTCGGGAGGAGGCAGAAGTGTAAGATGCAGTTGTAACTCTCTAGAAATAGAGGTGAGACAGGCCTGCACAGATTACCATAAAATTCTTCATAAGGTGCCACTTCTCTGCCCATGGCCAGAGATGGCTTTACCTTGATCTTGGGCACCTGCCCTCAACCCTACCTTGAGGATCCATTTCCTTTTTCAGGGTATAATTAAAATTACTAGCTCAGCCAGTGAAAATAGCTCAGTCTCTAGTCCTGGATTCTAGCTCTAGCAGGGGTTGAAGTGGCTTTTCTTCCTGATTGCAGATTTCAAAATTTGGCCAATCCTGGTATCCTTTAGTAACTCATTGTGCATCTGGTATCCTTGCATTTATTTAAATATGTTTGCAGTTCTAAATTTTGAGCTTGTGTCCTCTAGTGGGATTGAGTCCTATTATGTGTGTAACCAGCATTGTGGCAACAGATGGACTTTGTTTTCATTTTCTTTTCTCAGTCTCTTGGGTTCCTTTAGTCTAGGGTTTTTTGAGCAAGTTCATGCTTACTATATATACAGTTGAAATCACTTTTGCATGGTGTCCATTCAACAAATTCTTTTGAGCACATATTGCATGCTTGGCCCATATTAAACTCTAAGGTCTATATCTTTGTTCAAAAGGA